ATTATATATTATATTAAATCAATTATTTCTTTTCATTTTTAGAATCTTAAAAAAAATATAATTTATATTTTGGATATCCAAAAACCGATCCAAATTAAACTACATGAAGTTGGATCGGACCGGATCAGATTTTTCTAATAAATTATCCAAAACCGAACGAATTGCAAGTACATTTATATTTGGACCAGGTGAGTTTTTAGCTCAAAACCATCCAAACCGAACCACGACCACCCCTACTTAGTCTTATAATTAGGGATGACAAAAAAATTCGTACCCGCAGATATCCGCAGATAAAATCCGTCACATATATGTGGCAGATAACTTAATGGATATCCACGGATAAAATAAATGAATATTTAAATACCCGTTTGTTAATGAATATGGATATGAGTTTAATGATATCCATACCCGTAGATATCCGTATCCGTTAATAAATTATAAAAATCATTTAAATATCATTACCTTATTATACCTTATCTTTTCATCTTCTAAAAAAATAGTCTTTTTTATGTTTCTTTCTTTTTTTTTAAAATTTCTTTGAAGAAAATCTTTCACATTTCATTCAAATTCTATTAGGCATTTCATATTTAAACTCTTCAATACTTCATACCTCACTTCAACAATTTCACAGTCCAACCAACATGTCGTCATTCCTCTGTTAAACCAGTGTCTCCCTTCCTACTCCTCTGTCGTCTGCTCTTTCATCATAAGTTCATAACTCACAATCATAATATCTTTTATTTGTTTGGTTAAAAACGAAATGTATGAATATTATGTTTGGATATAATTATGTTTTGGTGAATAAGAAGAAAATCAATGTGATATAATTTTATTGTTAAATTAAAAGTGAATTGTATGAATATTATGTGGTAATAACTTTTTGTGTCTTTAAAAGAAATTAAAAAAAATTATAAAAAAAAATTGTATCCATGGATATCTGTAAATATCCACAAATACCGTAAAACCCGCGGATTACCCGCTTAACGGATATCCGCATGGATATGGGGCGGATATGGAGATCATATTTATCCAACGGGGCGGATACGAATATCATAAAATATGTCCCCATAGATATCCATTTACATCTCTACTTATAATCCTACATTCCTGCATACTTACAAATGATAGAATACCAAATTGTTCTTTAAACACTTTGTTATCATAAAAACCTAAGGAAGCAACAAAATAGGTTGTAATACTTTGATATCAACCAATCCAAACCAAATCGCGAACACCCCTACTTAGTCTTTACAAATGATAGAATAACCAATTGTTCTTTAAACACTTTGTTATCATAAAACCTAAGGAAGCAACAAAATAGTTTGTAACACTTTGGTATCAACCAATTTTTTTCAACAAAAGAGTCTGTAACTGCCTGGGAAGCAATACAGATCGTGTTAGAGGACACGCCCAACCCGTGTTGCCCATAGTTTTCTTGTATGGGTTATGATCTGCCAACACGGCCAGTGTCAGGGAAAACGGCCAGACCGTGTTGGTCTCAAAAATTTTATATGATGAGAGCTCATTTTCGTGCGAACTTTGACCTTTTTCGCTTCAATTTGGTCAATCACCCTTTTATTACTTGAAAACATAAAAAGAAGGCAAATGCATAAAATCGAACTAAAATGCGGAAAACACACATGAAAATGGAAATAAAATAAGCAAGAAATACGATGCAATTACCACTTATTAACCTCACGCAATTGTGGCCATGTTATTTATGGGAATCGACATGTAATTCCCACGTTTTTCATGATATGAACATTCATCTCTCGATTCACTGAAATTAAAATTCCTCAACCTAGAAATACATATTTCCATAATTTGAATTGCAAATCTTTGTTCTCGAGCCTCATATCTTCACCATATCCACCAACAATGGCATGTTCTAGAGCCATTTGCTCCATCGTGCAACTCGAAGCAGTCACATCCCCTCAAGCTGCGAGAGATCCACCACATTCTCTGTAAAATTGTGGCGATCAAGTTTTCACAAACACTTCATTCGCACCACCACATCAAGATCTCATTTAGCCTCCCATGTTCGTGGGTTGTGTTCAATAGTTTTAGGAAGGATAACTCTCATTCAAGCCTCCAACCCCATTGGTAGTACCAATACCGTAAGCGCTAACTGGATTACAAATGTTACAAGCTAACATTGGCGGGCAAGATGCCAATGAACTATTGAATAATGTTTAGTGTTTGAATTGTGACTTCATACACAAGAGGAGGTGAATTATGGAGGTTTTAAAATCGTTTATTTAAAACAAAATCATTTTTGAAATCATAGTTTGAACTTTTTTAATTAAAAAATGTTTAAATATGAAACAAAAATTAAAAGTAAAGAAATTAAGTGGAAATTAAAAGAGATAAGGGAAGAGATATGACACCAGATATTTATAGAGGTTCAGTCTAATGAAGTTACCTACTATTCTCTCCAAGATTTGATCTTTGAAGTTAACCGGGTAGAACTAAAGAACTGTTGTGAATATTTTTCACTGATTGATCCACACAAACAAAAAAGAGAGCTTTTCTTCAATGGCAGAGATAATTAACCAAAGTGAGACTTCGACAAATCCTCCAAATACAAACAAGAGTTTTTTTCAATGGTTTAACTCCTAATCAAAATAATAACTTCCTCATAAAGAATAATTTACTCAAGAAAAAAAACCTACTCTTAGTAAATTACAATTATACCCTCACCTAAAACAATATCCTCATTGAGACCCAAGACTATTCTCAAAGCATTGTGACTAAAGATATATGAGAAAAACAAGAATGATTTAGAGAGGTGATGAGAGAAATGAAAAGTGAGATTTTTCATGTTTTCTCGATGTTTTAAAGTAATAGAGAAACTCTTTATTTATAGACCAATAAGTTGTGTAAATTTGAAAACAATTTATGGGTCAATTAAATGACCTAATCTGTTAAGCAATGCAATCTATTATTGCTGTCTAAAATGGAATGTTTATAGAGAGAGTCGTTATCAATTATTAAGAGACTGTCATAGTCAGTTATATGATTGATTATCCATTATCTAATCGACCAAGCTAAAGATCTAATAAATTAAATGGTTGTTTAAAGTCTCATAATCGACTGGATAGTTCCTTAATCATCTGGTCAGGTCTAAAAACATCTTTTTGGTTGTTTTAAATAAAAATGTAAGGCGTCTCAAATATTGATCACTCAAACAATCATGGTCAAACGAATTTTACACTTCCTTTCTTTCACATACTAAAACTTCTAAATCTTGATTTCATTATCTTTGATTTTAGAATCACCTAAGAGCCTTAAGTATTTTTGATGAGACTTCAAATATTTCCTTAATAATTACCATCACGTGGGATGTTGAATGTTTAAACCTATGTTGATCATAAACCCTAAATATTCGTTTGAGAGTTGTTGGACCATTATGTTGATTTGACCATTATGTTGATTTTAAAATAAATGTATTTAGCGTGATTCAGAAGGATATCTTAATCAAATACCTCGTATGTCTTTGAAGGCTTGAACCAACTTTAACAATTACTTGCCTTTAAGTGTTGTCAAATTATCCAAAATCGAATATGAATCCGATCCCTAACCGAGGATCTATAACATTCTATAATTTTCCCTCTCTTTTGCGTTGTTACGTATATAATTAATTTCTTTGGATCAATGCAGATTCTGTTGATGTTTTTTATGCTCACTATCAGATGTTACAGTTTTTTTTCCTTGATTTTGTAGTAATTTTTTGGCGTCTCAATGGTTTCTTAATCTGTTGGCGTTTTCTATATTAGAATTAGAACAGGGAAAAGTTATTTAGGTTTGAAGTGCAAACATATAACAAAATATATTGAGTTCTATGTGTTTGTTCTTTTGCCTAACTAGATTAGTTGATAGTTACACCTTGGTGTATTAGTCCAAAGGTGGTTTTTTATATTCAACTTTACCCAATTTCTTTGAAAATCCTAACCCTGATTTGATTTCATAATCTAAAATCAATTCAATTTTTGTTACATCAATTGAATTGGACTGTTTGCAAGTTATCATTCTCATACAAATCATTGATTAGAGTATTCTGATTTTAGGGTTTGCTTCGTTTACATGTTTTTCAATTGGGATTTTTCGTTTTTACTTAGCTATTAGTGTAGTACACGATTTTGGATTTTGGAGTTCATGAGATGAATATTGAATGTTGAGTTATTGAAAAAGTTGGTGAAAGGGGTTTTTACATGGTATGGTGTATTTGTTGTTTTCAGTAATTTTCAAAGGGACCACGCTAATCCGAAATTGAATCCTGAAATCAGATTTGCTGCTAGTAAAAAATGTCTGCATTCATGCTTTCAAACATATCCAATTTTTTGATTGGACATTTTGATTTAAAACAGGTAATTTTGAGTAAATTAAAGTTTTTTTTGGTGAGTAAGTTAATATCATCTTGACAGCGTGAATGAGTGATTTAAATCCCCTGCAGTCGGGGTTTTCGCCCATTTATGCTGTCAAGATGATATTAACAATTTGATCTTGATCGAACAATTCACACACCTCTAATCCCTTGAAAATTTTTGTTTTTGCCTCAACCCTCGTGTTCTCTAATAATAAAATGTAGCTCAATTTGGAGTACGGCCGGGAAATAGAGTCTGGTCAAATGTTGTTTAGCTCGGATTCAAACTTGGGTTCCCTCAACAATTCGTCTTTAACAGGAGCTGGTTAACTACTTAAGCTCAATCACTTCGGTAATCCCTTACAAAAATCTGTGTGCATGCATGTTTAGTTCATTCGGAATATGCTATAGTAGCACTGTTGAATAATAATATTGCAATGGCCTTATCTAACATCTTAGTCTTTGATGTGTAACTTACATTGAATAATACTAAATGTGTAGGTAAATTAGAAATTAAGGAAACAAAACATGTGCATACTGCATAGTATCCTAATCTCAAATAAATCTTACACTTTTGAAGAATCTTCCACACTCACTCGATTCTTTAACATGTCAAGGAATGGTGTTCATACCTTCCCTATGACTGAGCAATCTCTTCTGGATTGCTTTCGCTTATTCTAGAATTGTTCTGAGATGGAGTAGGGTTCATCTCCAAGCTTGGTTTGTTTTGCCTTACATCGTTATAAACATAGAACTTGGCAACAACCACAAAACAAATGAGGTTGATTAAGCATAAAACTGCCATGAAAGCATAATAATAATCTAAATGAGAGACGTTTAGATTATTTAATATCCAACCTTTTTGACCATGTCTTTGTGTGATATCGGCAACAGTTGATAGAATGTAGGAACTAGCAAAACCTCCTAAACCCAAACTCGTTGTGGAAAATGCTGCTCCAAGACTTTTCATGTCTTCTGGTGCTTGATCATAAAAAAACTCCATTTTAGCAGTTTCAACGAAGCTATCCGCAACCCCTGCTAAAGCAAATTGAGGAAATAGAATGAAAATGGTAAGAGGTAGTGTATCATGCCGGCCTAAGAGGTTATTTTCTCTTGCCACACGGAGTCGCTTCCTCTCAACGAAGCATGAAATTACCATCACAATGACATGAATTATGAGGCCAACTCCCATTCTCTGAAGGAGTGTGATCCCTCTAGGGTTCTTCGTGTAGGATCGGATTATAGGAGTAAAAGCACAATCGTAGATTACAAGGCTTATCAGTATGAAGATAACTATAAATACTATGAGACTTGCTGGTGGGATCTCAAAATGGGGTCCCATTCTTCTATCAAGTGTGGTGCCTTGTTTAATGAAGAGTGTGAATGTTTGCATTACCATTGTGCTTGGAATAATTGTTAGAATCAAAATAGGAACCATTTTTATCATTTTCTTAGTTTCCTCAATTTGCGTCACTGTACAAAGCATCCACGATGAAGTTTTGCGGGTCTTTACTGCCGCTTTGTCAAGGATTCTGTAAGCACATAAACGAGGATAAGACAGAGTATGTATAACAAAACTTGAATGGATAAAAAGTAGTAATTAGACTCAACCTCAAGAAAGAAGTGTGATCAATTTTGTTTCTAGCATTACATGCATACTCTTCCGTAGTAAGTTCATGTAGATCTTTTGGATCTTCTGGAACACGCGAGTTCCACTTTCTCGTAGCAGCGACAAAGACTTGAAGCATCCTTGTTATAGGACTTCCCGTGGGAAATTTGTGTCTATAAAACGGCGTTCCTACCAAAAATATCATTATCGAAACAATGAGGCCAATGGTTGGAAGACTATATCCAATGGCCCAGCCCACATTGTCCTGTATGTAAACCAAGAAACTGCTGGCGAAAAGGACACCAATGAAAATGCTGAAAAACCACCAATTGAAAAAAGAGAGCTTATAGGATCTCTCTTTGGTATCGAACTCGTCAAATTGGTCTGCTCCAAGAGTAGAAATGTTGGCCTTGGTTCCACCGGTGCCTAGAGAAATGATGTACAAGGCAAGGAAGAAAATACCCTTTTGCAATGGTGAGGCCTTAGGGCAATCTTGGTCTAGGATGCCTTCTGCACATTGCGGCGGGCTCAATGATGGTAGCGAAACTGCTAGAGTCAACAAACACATTCCCTGTGTCATAATAAATCAAATTCATGTCAAGCATAAATAATGCATCAAAACTCATACTAGTAGCATATATATTATATACTCTAATGTTAAAAATAAGTCTCATACTCATACCAATAGATAAATGAAAGATGAAATAACAAAAGTCCAATATCGACCAAGATATGCATCAGCTACGTAAGCTCCTACAAGCGGCATCATCCAAATTGAACCCGACCAATTGTTAACGTCGTTTGAAGATTCCACCGTACCCTCATGAAGCTTATTTGTCAAATATACCACTAAATTCGACGCTATCCCAAAATAAGCCATCCGCTCAAACACTTCATACACTATAAGTTCATAAATTATACATTCATAAGTATTAATAATTTGTCATATTATACCTTAAACTGCTTCAAAATGCTTCAAATAAGTTTACCTATTATGAAAGAACAAGCTTTCCATCCTCCGGTGTTTGATCTCAAAACTGGTTTACCTTGTAGGTTTACTGTGCCATCTTGACTATAACCCTTTTGCCCTTTTTCTTCTACCATTTCCATGATTCTAACTAAGGTAGAAATCTTATTATAGAAATATATGCATGCACTCTTTGTTTTGTAACTTCTTCTTAATCACTTTCTATTTACATATATATTCTATTTTCTGAATTATGCGGAGTTTACCTTTTCGACCATGCAAGAAGTGGACGTGAGATTGATGTATATGGCACAAAAAAGTCACCAGCTTACAAGAATAAATAAATATTATTGATTAAAGTGTCTTTTTGGCTTTCTAAGTTCCAACTCCATGAGTGTGTTTATATATGGTATATTTCTCTTTTTTATTTATTTGGTGAAAGGTATAGATTCCACTTTTGATACCATGTGAATCAATAAACTAATATAATAAATATTACAACTTACAATTAGATATAATAATCATCAGAAAGACGAATCAAATGACTTAATCTATTCGAAGCCTACGGTTACACATAGATCGCTATAAGCAGATAAAATCTAATAACATGTGATTCTTTGAAAGCCATAAAGTCTAAACATGCAAACTATAAAGTAAATTAAAGAGAGATAGAGTAGAGTGCACTAGTGTTTATACTGGTTCAACATGTTTGCTTCGCTTGGCGCCTAATTCAATCTTCAATGGTGAATCATTGAAAATTCGTATTCTTCCACTATTTTAACAATTTTTTGAAAATATGTCTAAGTTTAATCACATATATAATATCATCTCAATTTCATTGAAGATTTTAAGCAACAAATACACACTTTTGAGAGTCACAACTCACAACTATGGACAAATCTGAGAACTTTTGCATTTTCTCTAGGATTTGGAATCTAACTGTGAGATGAAGCAGGGTTCATCTCAAAGTCTAATGTTTTGGTTTGTGTTACATCATCATTATATACAAACAATTTGGCAACAACAAAGAAGCAAATGAAATTGACCAAACTCAACAAGCCCAAAAAAGCATAATAATAATCTAAATGAGACACATTTAGATTATCCAAAATCCAACCCTTATGACCATCTTTACTTGTGAAATAAGCAACACTTGATAGAAGAAATGTACTCAAAAAGTTTCCAATGCTCAATGTTGTTGTGAAGTATGAAGTTCCAAGACTTTTCATGGCTTCAGGTGCTTGATCATAAAAGAATTCTAGCTTAGCAACATCCACAAATGTATCTGCAATCCCCGTTAAAGCGAATTGAGGGACGAGAATGAAAATAGTAAGAGGGACTGTATCGAGCGCGCCCAAGAGGCTGTTTTCTCTAGCAACGTTGAGTCTCTTTCTTTCGATAAGGCACGCGACAACCATTATGATGACATGCATCACAAGGCCGATTCCTAGTCTTTGTAGCATTGTGATCCCTCTCGGATTCTTTGTGTATCGTCGGATTGCAGGAACAAAAACGCGGTCGTAGATTACAACGCTTATCAACATGAAGATATTTACAAATGCTATTAGACATGCTGGAGGGATTTCAAAATGAGGTCCTATACTCCTATCTAGAGTTGTGCCTTGTTTTATGAAGAGTGTGGTTGTTTGAGCTATAATTATGCTTGGTATACATGTTGTAATCAATATAGGTATCATTTTGGCCATTTGTTTGGTTTCTTCAATCTGTGTCACAGTACAAAGCATCCATGGTGAAGTTTGGTCAGTCTTCACTGCAGCTTTGTCAAGGAATCTACAAACATATATGGTTAGTGGTTACATTCAATCTCTTCTACATAATTATCAAAGTGTACTAGCTAAAGCCGTGATTGTGTCTAGTGTTTGTTCTTTGTAGTTTAAGAATGAAAACATGTCGGAACAATCAACGGTGTCTATGGTCTAGCCTACATCAAGGAAGAATCTTTTAAAGAATCTTTTAAGTACTAACCTCATTGAGGAGCTGTGATTAATTCTAAACCTTCCTCTACTAGTATACTCTTCCAAGGTCACCTCATGTAGCTCTTTTAAATCAATTGGGACATTTACTTTCCACTTTCTCATAGAAGCCACAAAGACTTGAACCATTCTTGTTAAAGGGCTTCCAGAGGGTAATCTATGTCTATAAAGTGGAGTTCCTAACACAAATATCAATATGGAAACACCAAGTCCAATGGTTGGAATCCCATAACCAAGTGAAAAACCAACATTGTCTTGAATGTAAACCAATACCGTTTGTGCGAAAATGGTTCCAATTAAGATATAAAACACCCACCAGTTGTAAAAGGAAAGTTTTTGGGATCTCTCTTTAGGCTCAAACTCATCAAATTGGTCTGCTCCAATGGTTGAAATGTTGGGCTTAGTCCCTCCTGTGCCGGCTGCAATGATGTACAAAGCAAAGAAGAAAATACCAATTTGTAATGATGAGGCTCTCTGGCAATCCTTGTCTGCTATACCAGTAGCACACGGTGGTGGTCTTAGCGTTGGTAGTGATACTGTTAGAGTCAATAAGCACATTCCCTATATAAAAAATATGATCAAAGACATGCTATGTTTATATGCGTGTGTGATGTTTACGATTATATTATAGTGTAATATGAATTGAATCATTTCGTACCAAAAAGTAAATGGCGGATGATATGACAAAGGTCCAATATCGGCCAAGATAGGCGTCGGCTGTGTAAGCTCCAGCTGCTGGCATGATCCAAACTGTACCTGCCCAGTTGGTGACATGGTTTGAAGATTTGACAGTACCTTCATGGAGCTTCTTTGTCAGATACAAGACTAGATTTGATGCTATCCCATAGTATGCCATTCTTTCAATCATTTCATATCCTATGATAATAAACACATGGATTTTCAATATTAAGATATGAAAATTGGTCTTTGTTCTTCAATGTGAAAACAACTGATGTTGTTGAGAGTTATGTAAATAAGTTATTAATATAGACTATGAAGCATGGATTCGCTGAAATCTCTACTGAATCGCACCTATTAGGTGCTAATACTCCGAGAAACTGTGTGCCTTTTGCCAACTCTTAACAATCAAGTTGATTAACAACTTTTAAACTAAAATTACAGTTAGCACACCATCTAATTCATGTTCGAAAGTCTCTATCCGAATAAACTTCTTCATTTCATCGAGTCAGACTAGTCTTACATTTTTCAATAGTTTTGTCAACATGTTAGCCAATTGCATCTCAATCCTGCAATATCCCAGCTCCAATCTATCATTGTTAACTGGATCTTTCTAAAAACGAAATTTCTTCTCAATGTGTTTGCTTCTTTTATGACTGATTGAATTTCTTCTCAATGTGTTTGCTTCTTTCATGATTGATTGAATGTTTTGCTAGACCAATGGCTAATTCGTTGTGAACTAACAGTTTCATCTTTCTACCTTTATGAATCATTCGATTCTTCAAGAAACATTTCAATCTTGAACAGATAGCTTGCATTGCTTTTCATGTCATCTTGATTACATCACCTGTCAAAATCTGAGTAGCCAGCCACATGTCATTACATCTCCTTTGCTATTCCATGATAAGTTGTGCCTTTAACATACTTGAGTATCCTCTTTGCAACTAGAAGATGAGATACTCTTGATTGTTCCATAAATTTTCACACCAATCTTACACTTCGACACAAGTCTGGCCTAGTATTGCAGATGCACCTCAGGGAGCCAATGATTTGTTTGTGCAATTTAGCATCACCCGATTCTTCATTTTCATCTTTGCTTAGTTGCTCATGCGAAACCTTTTTAACATACTTATTTTAGTGTAGAAAAATTTCTGTTTGTTTTTATAAATTCAATTCGTATGAAATATGATTGATAAATCGAACCAGTCTATGTTATACCAATTTACTAGAATGGTATGCTATTGACAACATAATAAAGAAGGATATCATGTTGCTTGTTACGCAAGCTACTTACTTCACTTTATGAGTTTGAAATTATGCAAAACAAGAGAGAATTACTTGCAGATAATAGAAAAGATTTTGTATTGATTGATCTAGGTAGTTATATACATGAAGGACTCTATTTTAGTGAATTACCTCACTCCAAAATCAATTTTCTTAATCAAGTAATTAAATTCAAATAGTTAGTAAACTCTGAATTATTAGACATTTCTTACCTACTATGAAGGAACAAGCCCTCCATGTTCCTGTATTTGATCTTAAAACTGGTCTGCCTTTAAGGTCCACTGTGCCATCTTGAGTGTAATCTTCTCTTTCTCTTACCATTGCCATCAACTTGGAGGATTAATTTTGTGTTGTTTCTCTTTCTAACCCCTCTTGAACATTTATTTATATGTATATTAGAATTTTTAGCTTCTTCTAGCTATGGCCATGCATTAATTAATGGTCCAATTGCTTGGAAAAAATATTGTTGCAACGTATGTCTAGTTGTTTTATACTTTTGTCATTTTATTTACAATTTATCTGTCTCTATTCTTTTCTAGTAGCATTTCTTTTAAATTATTCTGAGACAAACAAGTCACAAAATATCATAAGCTAAGAGACAACAAAATTAATTTTGTACCAATTAAATTGACATGGTTGTATTAGAGATTCAATTAAGTAATAAATTAACCGTGACAAATATTAAATATATATTGTACCCATGCTCATAATTGACTTATCGGTATATATTCAGATATTAGTACTTTTATTTTAAATTAGTAATAAATTTGTGCCTATGTACGTGGTACGTTTTTAGATTTGCATTTGTTTTTAAACTGTCATAAAAATTGAAATTTAAAAAAAAATAAAATTTTTTAAAATAATAATAAATGTAGAGGATGAAAGTTAAACAACAATATCAAAAATAATATGATTAAAATTAAAAACTATTGAAACTTGTATTAGATAAATTATCGTTTTAGTTTTTTTATTTATTTATTTTTTACAAATAAGACATTATTTTATAAGAAAGAACATAATTTTTAAATATTTACTCAATCTTTTATAATAAGTTTTCTTAATCTTTTTCACATATTTGAAAAAAATAATCGATAAATTTCTATTATTCAATATTTAGATTAGTAGTAAAATTGTTTCGGTTTATAACAATAGTATTTTTTTTCTGTATATAAAAATATTTGAATCAATACTAAAGTTGTTCTTATGTATAAAAATTATTGAATCAATAATATATATATTTTCTCGTATATAATAATAATTATTTTTTAAATTATTTGAATCTATAGTTTGTTTCTGTTTACTTATGAGCAAAAACTTTTATACCAACAATACACGCATCCTTCACTACAACCCCTTTTAAGACAAAATGAGTATATTTGTTTACAGTGAAAATGAGAATCATTTGAACTTATAAACATATAAAAACTCAAATAAAAGACAAGTGATAACACCTCAATGAATTAAATATGGAGTAAAATTTTAGTGAATGTTTAAACTTGTAAATACCAAACTCCATATTGTAAAATTACCTTTTATAATTGTGAGGTTGGTATCAAACTGGTTGAAATTAGTTAACTTAAATTTGACATATCTGCTTCATCTTTCATACATATTATCAGTTTTCACAACCTGTAAATATATTGAGAAGTAGTTGTCAACGTGTTCCCCTTTGGATACAGATTAATTCTCCTAAATTTAAACCAAAACTAAATTAGATTAAAATTCCTTGTATGTGGCAATTCATTCATATAAATAAACTTTAATATGTCTCAACCTTCTCACCTGATTCTTTATGCTCCTCTATTTTTGCAATATTTAAATGATTTTTAATTAAAAGAAATTGATATTAATTGTTACAAAAACCAAATAACAAACTTTGAATGGAAAGTAAGAATATATAAAAAGCATTTAAATAGTAGATGATGAAAATGGTAAGAAAAAAAAAATCAATAAAGTAGTCTGTTGAGAGAAGAAGAATACATAAATAAAGGCGGGCAATGAAGAGCCACATACCCGTCAGTCACACATAGCAATGCCTCAACGAAACACTTTTAAAATAGTCTCACCTTCTTTTGTTGCTAAATCAGCCAAAAAATCCAAGAAAAAGTAACTCATCTCTACCGCAGTATCCATGTATCCACCACTTGACGCATACATGTCGATTTGAAATCTCAAAAGTTTGAAGGACTTCTATGCGATTATCACCTTAAAAACAAAAACACCTGCATATGAAATACATATCACTCTGATCATAAAGTTAAAACACATTTAAAAATTCATCAACACATTTAAAAAATAGTTCACAAAATAAACTTTGATAAATAAAGTTACCTCAAAGTCTCCTTTGAGTTCAAATTCTAAAAATTTGATAAGATCCTCTTAGTAAACTTCTTCATAAGCTCTAATGATTTGTTGAATCACTGTTCTCTCTTTTGATTTGTTGAATATAATGTTGTTTGAAAGAGAGATGAGAGTGAGAGTTACCTCAAAGTCTCCTTTGAGTTCAAATTCCAAAAGTTTGATAAGATCCTCTTAGTAAACTTCTTCATAAGCTCTAATGATTTGTTGAATCACTGTTCTCTCTTTTGATTTGTTGAATATAATGTTGTTTGAAAGAGAGATGAGAGTGAGATTTATTTTCAAAGAAGAAGTTGGAGAGAGAGAGAGATAGAGAGAGATAGAGATTAATTTTGAATTGGATCTGACACTGGATGAAGAGAAAAAAAGAAAAAGACAGATTGGATAAGTTGGTTTGGAACTAAATAAAAACATATGACATCATCAAATGAATTACACCTAGCAAACTATGACCTAATTGAATAAACATGTAGTTGAAATAGAACAAATTGATATTACCTATTGAAAAAAGTAACTCATCTCTACCGCAATATCCATGTATCCACCACTTGACGCATACATGTCGATTTGAGATCTCAAAAGTTTGAAGGACTTCTATACGATTATCACCTTAAAAACAAAAACGCCTGCATATGAAATACATATCACTCTGATCATAAAGTTAAAACACATTTAAAAATTCATCAACACATTTAAAAAATAGTTCACAAAATAAACTTTGATAAATAAAGTTACCTCAAAGTCTCCTTTGAGTTCAAATTCCAAAAATTTGATAAGATCCTCTTAGTAATCTTCTTCATAAGCTCTAATGATTTGTTGAATCACTGTTCTCTCTTTTGATTTGTTGAATATAATGTTGTTTGAAAGAGAGATAAGAGTGAGAGTTACCTCAAAGTCTCCTTTGAGTTCAAATTCCAAAAGTTTGATAAGAGCCTCTTAGTAAACTTCTTCATAAGCTCTAATGATTTGTTGAATCACTATTCTCTCTTTTGATTTGTTGAATATAATGTTGTTTGAAAGAGAGATGAGAGTGAGATTTATTTTCAAACAAGAAGTTGGAGAGAGAGAGAGAGAGAGATAGAAATTAATTTTGAATTGGATCTGACACTGGGTGAAGAGAAAAAAAGAAAAAGTCATATTGGATAAGTTGGTTTGGAACTAAATAAAAACATATGACATCATCAAATGAATTACACCTAGCAAACTATGACCTAATTGAATAAACATGTAGTTGAAATAGAACAAATTGATATTACCTATTGAAAAAAAAGTAATATTTAGACACAAATGCCCTCAAGTTGATGATGTGACAAAATAATAGGGTAGGGCATAATAGAAATTTCCACAATATTAAATTTTCTTATATTATAGATTTAATTAAGTAATAGATTAACCGTGACAAATATTAAATATGTATCGTACTCTATTTTACACATGCTCATAATAGGCTTATCGACATATATTCAGATATTAGTACTTTCATTCTAAATGTAATATATTATTGAATTATTTATTTTTGTTCCTTTTATAAAAAAAAAATTCTATAAACACTTTCTTAAATTCATAACAACATTTCAATCGATAGTATTCTATTTAACAGAAATCAATCTATTACTCCCTCCGTTTTTAATTATATGTCGTTTTGGAAAAAAAATTGTGCCAAAATATAAGTCATTTTGTAATTTCTATGTATAATTAATTTTTTTCTTCCTAAAATACCCCTAATTCATCTCTTTTTTCTATAATTTTCATAATTCAGTGAATCTTGTATTCCAATGCAGAGTGACATTATGAATATTGTTTTTTAATGCATTAGTCCAACTTTTTATAGAAAAAGTCTTCCTCTCATAAAACTCTATATTAATTTGTGATTTTTTCAAAATTCCTCTCTCTTAAGAATATATTAACTCCCAATTAAAACTCAGAAATATCTCTCCTCAATGTGAATTCTCAAGTTTTATATATTGTGCATTTTTTAATCCTTCTTCCTATCATAACAAAAAAATCCTTAAAAAAATTGGCAATGGAATATCCCAAAAATCCATCGATAGAAATAGTAGAAGATTCTATTTTTTCTGATAAGGTTACCGATAATACAAAAAAGAAGTACAATGAAATATTTAGAGGGAAATTTGAAAAAAAATTAATGAAGAGCCATAAGAATTTGGAGGGAAAAATTTAACAAAAAAAAAATCTTAATTTTTTCCTCCGAGAGTGTTTTAGCGTATCTTTTGGTGAGTGATGAAAAATTTGGGAGGGAGAAAAATAAGGAATTATGTAGGATAGAAAAAGACACGTATAAATTTAATTAATTTAATGTTTTATTCATGGAATATATTGGAATAAATGCAATCTAAATATTCCATCGACAAATCATAATGATTAATCTGGTATATTTTGAAACAAGAGATTTTGAATGTTTTTAAAAAGGATAATATTGGAATACCCTATAATATATTTACAAAATTAGCAAAAGTTAATAACTTCCTTGATATTTGTAAAAAGTCTAAAACAACTTATAAAAAAAAACATAGGGAGTATAAAGTAGTGTTATTATATATGAAATAAATTATTTTTATCGATAAAATATTAAATAAGATGTCTCGAAAGTTGTTGAGACATTTTGACTCCATTATCCCCTAGTTTGTTATTTTTGAAAAGATTTCGTTTGGTTACGAATTATTGCGTGATTAATTTAATAAAGGTTAATTTCACTCATAATTCACATGATTTGTTTTGAAAAGAATTATTGTGGAAAGATTTAATTTTTTACATAATCTACATGATTTGATTTTGAAAATATTTAATTGGCTGAAGATTGAATATATTATGAAAGAAAGATTTAATTTTTTAAAGATTGTATATGCTACGAATTTATTTGTAGGACTTTCGAGTTGGATTGGTGTCTCTATATAAAGAGACAGATTTCACTTGTGTATTAACAAGATAAAAAAAAAGAGAATATACAC